ATATTCTGGACTTTCAAATGATATTCAAAGCGAGATCATTATTTGTATAGTTGCTGCCAATGAGGGAGGAAATGAAGCAATGCTCGAAAAACACCATTTCTTGCTCTCATATTTTAAAGATTACGGATCTTCGAATGAAATCTCAATTGTCACGCATTTTGTTGATGGGAAGGTAAAGCCTCAAAAAGTTTTTTAAGATACGTCAATGTTAATAATGATCAAAAAGAGCTGCATTGTTAACAGAAAAGTTCGAAAATTTCTGTTAATGAAGATACATTTATGCCAAAAATGAATCGCACAAACTATATGATGGAGCGACCGTGATACCTGGACATTTTGAATGAAGTGAAAGCAGAAATAAAGAAGATTTTTCGTGCGAGAAAACATATTTGTGAATTTGATACTCTTTCAATCATCTTCAAGAATTCGTGAATGTCAAATTCCTTCCAACTTTAAAGAGAATTTAACTATAAGTACTAGATGAAATCGTTGGAGGGCGATTTCCAAAATTTATTCAAACACGTTAGAATTATTCATCTCGACAAGTATCCATTTTGTTGGACAAACTTACTGTATTTTCTGAGCATATTAGAAACTCCATGGGTCTGCAGTACTTCAGAATTAGTACAGGCAAGAGGATTTGTTTCAATCCGAAGAGATTTTGATTTTAAATTTTTATTAGTGGCTTTTGAAACCATATTGAGTACTGGGAGATTCTTCAAAAAAGTTCATTTAATATTTCGTGGTTGAAAACTTCAAAAAATAATTGGCTAGTATGAAGAACAACAAATTTGAGAATTTTACTGAAAACATTCTGGATGATGTCACTGAACTCTGAGAGAAGAGTGGTCGACATCAAGAAGCAGAAGCTGATTCATGAACTTTGTTTAAAAGGATTTTGGATGAAGTTATTTTTCACTCTGAGCAAAGAATAAAACAATGGGAGAATTTCAAAAAATGTTGAACTGTTGAACCCGAAGATTTTTCACGCAAACAAAAAAAAAATTTTAATGGAAGTATCTTTTTCTATGAATGGCTATAAAAACATTTGATTTGGATTGCAATGCGAGCTGTAATCAGTTTATTCTGAAGATTTTGCAAAGCAAGTATCAATCATCCAATAACTGATATAATGGCCAGAACGGGGTTGAAATCGAATCCATTAAAGAGAGGTATCAAGCCCGTAATGTGGCCTTTGGTAGAAGATGTTTTCTCGCATTAAAACTAATCCATATCACATTTAATCTTGTTTACAGTGGTCGGAATAAAATTGATAAGGTCATTCTTGTTGGTTGAATTTTGTAAACCTCCAACTGAACCCACAATAGATTTTTATTTTGAATCTGCAACAAATAACATTTTACCCTTCCTGGATATCATTCTGAATAGAAATAATAATGATTTTATATGTTTGTGTGTGTGAGGTTTACAGAAAATCTATCAACAAAATGAACTTATAATGAACTAGATAAAAATAGATTTGTGGCCAGAATTTACCTAGTAACTTTCATAACAGCCATTATCCCAAACAACTTATCCAATCTAAACAACATCAAAATAATTAAAAACACATCCAAAACTAAATTTATTTGTAAGAATTGAAAATTACCCATAACAATAATAATTTTGCAAGATTTTCATATATATATCTTAATAATAAATTAAAAAATATCTGTGTGTCAGACTTTTTCTATCAAAGGGCACAACTATCCATACTTTTTTTAAATATCTCATCAGCTTCTTCGATATTATAATTGCGAAAATGACAGATATAAGTGGAAAGATTTTAAAAACAGATAAATAAACTAAATAAATTTGGTCAGCTTCTTGTTGATTTTCAGATTGTCTAAAAATTCCAGCAAAACTTATAGAAGATGTACATTGTATGCTCAACAGACTGCAGATGCTAGACAATCTGAAACTCTAGAAGTAAGGAAGAGGAGATTCAGAATGAATACTCAACAGAATGCAGCAACTATGCAATTGGATATATTATACTCAAAATAAACATTACTATAATGGTATACTTTTTTATTATTGACATTTGTTTTAATACTTCAATAAATGATGTAGAAATTTATATGCATATGTTTATAGTTTTCCTCAATCTTTTATTTAGTTATATATGTGATGATTGCTTCATTTCCAGATCAAAATAGAGATCACAAAACAAGATTATGTACAAACATGATGATATTGGCTTGGAGGAAGTACCTCTTTGTTCTACATGAAAATTGGCAATTGCTTTCTCTTGCGTTGCTGGGTGGATATAGCTGTATTACCTACTTGTTAACAGCCATTTATATGTTCAGTACGCTCTAATCAGTATCATGCAAAAACAGTACAATTTAGACAGCTTCTTCCATACCCAGTCAACAATAGGCATTTCTCCTAGTTTTGTAAATATGGCCAAGCAGAATTGCTTGCCCACTTTCAATTATGCTGTATTTGTCTAAACACAGTGTCGTTCAGTTCATCTAAAAATATCAAAGTAAAAATAAATAATAGTATTAAAGAAATAAATTATTAATTGCTGGAATAGATTTGAGAGTGTAGATTATTAATAATTAAGAATATTTAAATGAATTTAATGAAATAATTAGCACTTGGTTTCATTTCCAGGATATGGATTCTTAATTGAAATTACAGAAAATAACTACTAAGAATTAATGACTTGAGGTATAATTAACTAACTTAAAATTTCCTCAGGTTATATAGGAACATTTTGCCCATAATATATAATTAATTGAAGTAAACAATTATAAAAATTATTTAATTTTTACTATGGGATTTATGTTCCATTTTGTAACTATTAGCTTAATAAATATTTCAGTTGCTTTTCCCATGTCATTTTTCAACTCCAGGGTATGTACTGTCATTGATATTCCCATGTAGGGGGTCCTTAGCAAACGACCTTCTTTTCTTCTAGGCTCTGATTAAAATAAGACACATTAAAAATTATTTCATTTTTACTAGGTGTTTTATTTTAATTGTTAACTTTTACTTTAATAAAAGCTTCAGTTGTTTTCTCAGATCAATTTCATCTCTCATTTTTATACCATTGTTGAAATTCCCTTTTTAGGAGACTTAACAAAGGACCTTCTCGTAGGCTCTGAGGAAAATGCTGCTTTGATTTTATTGGGCAGATGTGCCTGCAGCAGATAATTTTGCAACAGATGGTACTGGCTATGGACTTAAAAATCAATAAGTATTTTACAAGATCCTTATTTGAAGTATTTCTTAATTAACAATATTCTGATTTCAGTTGCATACATTTCATAAGATATGATGTGATGATGAAGAAATCTTGTTTCATCACAACATGTTTGATCTTCACTGGCAGCTGCTGCATTATTGAAATAATAACTTTATGTATCTCCTGCAATATACACTGCTTTCATACATTATTCATTGACCCTATTAATATATCATTTATGCCTTATTTTTTTCACATGTTTTGGCTGTACAAAAACAAGATTGTTTATTATTGAGAATTTCAATGTAGGAAAAGATATTTCACTTTCCATTAAGACAGACAAATATATATTACATGGTTTATGTGAAAGTGATGGATCTACATTGTCAAAAGCATGACAATGAACTTCACCTGACATGAAATAATGGACATTGAAATGTATAATTTATTTTTATACAAAAACAAACAAGTGTTATCTATGAATAAACAGGAAAGATAGGCCATATTCATGTGACCTCAGCTAAACTGTTGTGAAATTCGCCCTGTGAAGTCGTATCACTATTCTGACTCGGCCCTGTTTAGGGACTCGTCCTAGCTGATACAACGAAACTTCGTGCAACATCGATCAACCTGCTGCTGTTCCTGACAATTCTCCCATCAGGCAGTTGACCAGCTACCGCCGATTTTCAACTTTCAACTTTCGCCAATATGACCGAAATCAACTCCCCCTAAACAAAAACCAGTCATACCGGACCCAACAATGATACAAACATATTTCTCCACACTCTTGTACATTTTGGATAAATAAAATCGACGTTATTGTTTCTTAAACCTTTGCCTTTGTCCCCTCATTGTCTTAGCTGTTCACACCTTTCTTCATAAAGCTTGCGGAGGCAACATCCATATCGGCCCAGCAACAAGTGGTGACTTCCCGACGTGAGACGGCTGGATGATGGAGTCGGTCAAAATGATTCTTTAGACATGACGGCCGCGATCATACCTCTGCCTGCATACCACCATAATGCAAAGAACTGGTTCTTGCAGGTAGAATCGATCTTTTCCATGTTACGCATCACTTCACAGTGAGCCAGATTCACGAACGTAATGCAGAAACTCCCATTTGATATGATGGATTAAATTTCTGACGACCCCTCCGATTTGTGCAAACATGAACCCTACGATCACTTAAAGGAAGCGATCCTCAAGTCTACTGGGTGTTCCAAGGAAGACATGTTTCAAGAAATTTTACGGAACGTCACCAGAGGTGACAAGACGCCATCTCAGCTTCTCAGGTATGTGAGGAAACAGCTGGGAAAGCACAATGTGTCAGAAAAGGTTCTTCAAGGCTTATGGCTGGAGCATTTGCCCAAATCAGTCGCACCAATGACGAGAACCACGTCTCTGGATGATTTGGCAGAATCTGCTGACCTAGTTTTTGTGCAGTTTGACCACAGCATTAACGCAGTTCATGCCCCCAACATAGCAAAGCACGAACGCTACGAGCCGAGTAAGATAGAACGGCCGTTGGCCGACCTTCAACGACAAATTCGAGAGATCCAGATCTCCCTGCGCTGGCGGACAAGGAAACTGACCCCATCTTGACGGAGACGTACACCCATGTCGTCTATTCTACGTTTGGGATCGCCGGAACAAACTGAAATTTCTAGTAGACACAGGTGCAGCCATCATCGTGGTACCCTATCCAAACTACCACACCACTAAGCCCACCCTGGTCAAACTCCGAGCTGCGAATGGTTCCGCGATAGACACATATGGAGAAAGGACCCTTACTCTGAATATCGGCATGCGACGTGATTTCACTTGGACATTCACCGTGGCCAACGTGAAGATACCCATCCTCAGCGCGGATTTCCTGGCGCATTACGCACTGGCGGTCCATATGAACCCTAGGCCCCTATCTGACACGACTACGAATCTCCGTGTCTTAGGTACCCCTACGCGTCAAGGCTCACAGGAATCAGCGTCGCAACCCTAACCCCCGTTGGCCCCTTCAGCAGTCCCGATGCACGGTTCTCACACATACACGTCGACTTAATGGGACCGCTGCCGATGTGTCGGGATTACCAGTATCTTCTGACGGTTGTGGATCGTTTTTCGCGGTGGCCGACCGCCATACCTATAAAAGACACTTCTGCAAGCACCGTCTCCACGTCACAGTTCCAGTCGTCCATTTTTCGGGAGTTTACCAACCTATTTGGTGCCAAGCTCATAAAAACTACCGCTTATCATCCGTGCGCCAACGGCTTAGTCGAGAGGTTTCATCGGTCCCTTAAAACCTTCCTGGCCACTAGACCTGACACTATCAATTGGGTGGACAACCTACCTTTGATTCTCCTAGCATTGAGGAATACGGTAAAGGAGGAGTTAGGATGTTCACCCGCCAAACTGGTTTTCGGTACACCTCTTGCGCTGCCCGGTGAATATTTCAACGACTCCCTTCAGACGCTTTCAAAACCAACAACTCCTTGCGTCGAGGAACTCCGCCACAAAATGGCTCGGCTTAAATATGCAACTCTGCGACAGCAACCGATGAATTCGTACATCCTCAACACTTGCGGGATTGCGAATTTGTTTTCGTACGGAACGACGCCGTGAGACGACCACTCACGCCGGCATACCAAGGTCCTTTTCAGGTTCTTCGGCGCACCGACAAGCACCTGACAACCAAGCGCGCCAACTCGACCGACACCGAGTAAAATTAGCAAATTTAAAAATAAATTTTAGTAAAAGTACAAATTTAATCTGATTTGAAATGTATATTACTTACAGCATAGAAAAATAGTATACAGTAATTTCTTAATAACGGGTCCTATTTTTCTCATGCTTTTATTGACATAACTGATGAGCTCCAAGGTGTTGACAGTTGTTATGGATGACCAGAATTTATATAAATTAACATTAGAGTCTTCTTTTTGCTTGAATCTGCCAGTCTTACTGATGAATCGGAAAATTTAGCCAGAACCGTATCAAATCTCACCACTGAATATATGCAAATGAAAGATAAGAAACAATACTTTTAATTTAAAATAAAAAACAATACTTAAAATTTTAAGAAAAGGGGTTTATACCAATGAAATAAAAACTATTCATTTTAAAAGCTTCATTTATAAAAAGAAAGTGCATATTAAAATGACTTTCGCGAAAACTGCGTAGTAATCATGACGAGTGAAAAGGTCCGAAAAGCAGTAAAAAGGCCATTAAATAAGCTTCCGCTCATTATTATTCGAGGCAGACATATGTAAACAATACCAATAATAGCTGTCGGACAACGCGAAAGAGACCGAAATTTCATTGTGGATAAATCCTAAACGGTAATCGCGTGCAAACTTTTAATGTCGTTTTCAAAATAATAACACCATAGTAGAACATTTTCAATATATTAGCTTACATAAAATTTACAGTTTATCCGTTTCCCTTCCATAAGGAAAAACAAATGAGACGAAATGTTTTCTTTTTTCTTTCTTTGCAAAGGAAAATACTTTTTAAATTGAATTTAAATCTTTTTAAATCTACGATATTATTTTATTTTTTATTTAATGTAAAAATTATTTAACATTCGGAAAAACTGATTTTTAATGCATTTAAAAAAAAAACTATAATTCACTTATTTTTGTTAAATTTCTAATCTTTCTGTCTGTGTACTGTAAATTTTAAATTTGCTGTTTAAGCCCAGCACACCAATTGTCAATAAAATTTCCTTGAAGTTTCTATTTCGGTGTAAATATTCATGGTTATTTCCCAAATAACAATAACAGTTGGCGATAATCTACCGTTTTGGAGTTATCAACAATAAAAGTTCGAACTAATTTGCTTCGGCTCTGTCCGCCGTTACTGGCGTTGTTTGTCGTCATGCGGGGAAGCTTACTTAGTTAACGGCCTTTTTACTCATCTTCCTATCTTCTTACTCGTCTAAATTACTGCGCCAAATGACGTCTTCAGACACTTTTGAAAGTGAAGCTTTTATTGAATTCGTTTTTATTTTAAATTTGATGACAAGTGTTGTTTTTTTAATAGTGAAGCTTTTTATAATAAAGCTGTAATAATAATCATGCTTTTAAAAACTCCAAATTTTATATAAAAAAACTAAATAGTCATGCTTTTAACAAAACTTTAAAAAAAAAAACAAATTTTGTATAAAAATGTAAATAAGCATGCTTTTTTAAAATCCCAAATTTAATAAAAAAAAAACATGTAAATAATCATGCATCAGTTTAAAAATGACTGCGCGATTCCAAATATAGCAGGAAAAAAATGAAAAAAAGAAAAACAAAATCAAAATTACTTCCTTGAAAGGATAAAGTTTTTCCCTTTTTTTCTTCTTCTTTTGGAAAAAAAGCTCACCCATGACATTAAAATCTTTCAGTTGGTTCTGTGAGAAATTTAAACCAATTTAATAAAAGAAAATCATTATTTGAAAAAGCTACATTCAAGAAAATAACAGAAAGTATATTTTAAAATAACTTTCGCTAAATTGCGCAGTAATCAACACTAGTGAGAAGATCCGAAAAGCAGTAAAAAGGCCGTTAACTAAGTAAGCTTCCGCGCATCATGCTTGTATTATAAACAATGCCAATAATGAAGGACGGACCTGATGCGAATGAGGTTGAATTTTTATATTGTCAATAACTCCAAAATGGTAGATTTCCGCAAACTTTTACTGTTATTTTCGAAATAGCCATGAAAATTTACACATTACTTAATTATAGCCTAAAAAGTAATAGACAAGCATTTCTCAACAATGGATCCTGTTTTTCTTATGTTTAATGACATTATCGATGAACGTCTAGATGTTGAAATCTCGTATGGATGACTAGAATTGACATAAATTTTCAAAATCTAACGAACACAATGTTTATTTCACTGTAATTTTTACAAATTAATATTTTTTGCAATTATCTGATATTTTATTGACTTTTAGTGACGTTTGCAGATGCTGTATGAAAAAATAATAAAATCTTCTTAGATTTAACATTTAATATTAATAATATGAAATACCAAGATAGAAGTAACAAGTGATTTATTTATTTTCTTTTTTCTCTTACTCCATCCTTTTCAAAGTTCTATTTCAGGAACTTTCTGAGAGATGGGTGTATCCCAATATGTCTTTCTTAATTCTGCCTGTTTGATTTCTCACAATTTTCAGACTGAAAACTTTCGAGAACAAACTAACGATTTGTTTAAATGTTAGGTCATTCATTTTTCTTTGGTATTATATAGTTTACAAACTTAGTGTGTTCGATAGCGCCGAGTTTCCATAGCAAAAGTTTCACCTTCTTGCCGCCGGACCAATTTGCACAGTCGGCTTGTACAGGTTTTCTCAGAAAGTTCGCTTTCTTTTTAGATTTTATTTGTTTTTAGATTTTAAAAGAGTTAACAGTTGTTTATTGGATATTAAATTGTAAGCAATTTTTCACCTTTTTTCATCAATAATGATTTACAATTTGATTGGTGTCTCCGTAAACTATTGCGAATTACTTACCTTATCGTTTGTGGATATCTTATCACAAGGGAACGTACACCGCTGGACACCGTCTCTTTAAATCGCATACCGTTACTTTATAATTGCATCCGTCATTGTAGCAACAACTGCGTGCCTAAAAAGAGGTAAGCACATGTGAAATTCTCTCTCTATCAATTCAAATGATTGTTTTTATGTCTGACAAGGTTTATAGAAAACTGTTTATGTTGTAGTTTCACGTTGAAGAAGCCACGAGTTTTGTTATAGCGAACAAGACTTGCGAAAGAAACAAGTTACAAATTTCTTCATCAGTTGACCTCTCGCCGTATCCTCAGTTTTTTCGTACCGTGCTAATTAATTAATTTAATTTTAAATTTGCTAATGAATAATATTTTTACAAACATTTTTTTATTCCATTTTAAGAACACGTTTGAAATTTTGGTTAAAAAAAAATCTTTTGGTAAATTTTGTTTTATTTCGCTGAATATCTCTTAAAATTTTCCAAAATCGTCATAATTCCGTGCAAATGTACATGTTGAACTCGAAATTAACAATTAAATTATGAAGAAACCAAAACGTTTTGTAAAATTGAAAATAAATCAAAAATTAATACACAAACTTGGTAATGTAAAAGTTGATTGTATTATTTTTTTTTTATTTGTCCCCTTTCTACACAGAAAATCCCCACCCATAACCTTAACACCTGACCCTAAAGGTAATCGTTAAGGTTAGGGGTGCGGTTTTATTTCTGTGTAGAAAAGGGGACAAATTAAAAAAATAAAAAACATTAAATAATTTACCAAGTTTGTGCATTAATTTTTTTTTATTTTCAATTTTACAATATAAAAAAATGCTTTATTTTTATTATTTAATTTGTTCTTTTAATTTTTCGTTGCTATTCGAAATGGAAAAAAATGTTCTATTGTATCATTTAATTTGTTTTTCTTATAAATAAAACTACACTTACCAACAAAAAAATCACATTTCTTTACAGTAGTGATTTTCTGCAAGGAAAGTCTGTAAAAGCAGTAAACAGGCCAGATGTATCCTGCACCGAATGAGTATTCACGATGGCAGTAATGGGGGACAAATGACCAACAAGAAGTCCCATTTTTTCTTATCGATAATTCCAAAACAGTATGGTTTCTTCATAATTTAATTGTTAATTTGAGTTCAGCATGTACATTTGCACAAAATTACGATTATTTTGGAAAATTTTAAGGGATAATTTACCAATCTTTTTTTTTTGTTTGTTTTTTTAGGTCAAAGGTAGCATTAGTTTTTTCAGGGTTTTTTTTATTTGAAAAGCATTAATTTGTTAAATTCTTGCAAAAATCAAATAATTGTCAGATTTGAATGAAACTTTCAGAACTTATTCAAAAATCAATGACATTGTTTGAGAAATGTTTGTTTATCTTGTTTGCTGATTAAGTTCATGCACCCATCTTTTCCATCAGATTCATTTCACTGGAGAGAAGATTTTAAGGATATATGTTTTGTACCATTAATGAATATTCTGTAAACTGTTGATGTTCCTACAACATCAAATAGTAGAGATTATCATTTGTCCAAGATGGATAAATTATCTTTGGATATTTCTCCAAGCCTGCTGAACAAAGTCTCTTGGCAACCCAGAGGGCCCCACGAATCACCAGTCAGGTGAGTGATGCCTCATCATTATTGAGGCATTTCAACCCAGGCGCCCAAGGCCATATCGAGCGAGCCTCCTGCTTCGGAAGACTGTGCTCGTCAGTCAGATCATCCTGAAGCCCCCCCCCCCCCGACTAACACTTGATACAATATACATTGCCCTACGAAACAACGCCTGGACGTTGCAGAGGCCATCCGATGCCCGTAAGAGGAGTTTCAGAGCACGACGACATTCGTGGTAGAAGGAGCATTCGGCTCGGGGTGTACTGCAGGCCTCCTCCCGGCATGAGTGCACACTTCTCAGGGATGGGAAATGTTTACGGATGTCTTCCTTCCAGAAGGCGCCATCCTCATCCGATCTGCGACACATTCGGTCTAGAAAGTTGATGTGAAGCATGTGTTGACGAATTTCAATGCTAGGCATACCCAGGCTGCCCTCAGTGGGATGAAAGCAACAGATCTCGCGAGATACCATAGCGGCCTTGTCTCTCCACAAGAAAGAGAACAACAGCCTTAGTAATAATATTAGTGTGGTATACGGAAGTGGAAGTACAGAGAGTCAGTAAATGAGAATTGGGCAGATGTGTGAAACACATACTTCCGCCCTCCTCTTCAATGAAAGCCTCCTCCAAGATCACAGATTAACCGCGATCTTGGCCTTCCTTTGTACCTCCGATCAATTCATTTCCTACTGGAGATCAGGACCGAACCAGACGCTGAGTATCTTGATCGGCTCATCCATCCAGAGGAAAGGTCCGGGAAGAGAAACTCCCTTCCACGCACCCAACTGCAAGCCAACAGACTTATCGCGGTTGATCTTGGCCCCTGTCATCATCTTATACCCACTGATCACTTTACTGACTTCGTCAATCTCTGCTCTTCTCGACACAAGAACTGAAATGTCGTCAGCAGAGACAGAATACCTGTCTGAGCTGGTAGCCCCAGGCAGGGAAATTCCATGCAGGACCTGATTCGCCTTTAACTTGCGAAGGAATGGTTCCAACGCAAGAACGTAAAGTAAAGGTGAAAGCGGACAATCTTGACGAATGGAGCGAGACAATACGAAAGGCTTCGATCTTTCCTATTCACCTCCACCAGCGCACTGGCTGTCGCATACAAAAGCCGGATCCAGGAGCGAAAGTCAGCTCCGAAACCGGCCGCCGAAAGGACAGCCTACAGAAACCGATGGTCAACCCAATCGAAGGCCTTGGACTGATCTAAATTGATCAGCGCAGCTTCACTGTCGACTTGTTCTAAGCTCAAGCGTACCATATGCAGGTTATCCTGAATAGTCGTGCCCTTCACAGCACAAGTCTGTTCAGAGCCAATCAGACGAGACAGGACAAGCTGCAATCGGTTGGCTAAGATCTTCGCCAAAATCTTTAACTCTGTGTTTAACATAGTCAAAGGGCGAAAGTTATTTCACCCATCCCCACCGTCCTTGTCCTTACGCAGCAATTTGATCACACCCCTGGTGAAGCATTGGGGTATAGACCCCTGCGTCATCCTGTTGTTGAAGATCAGTTCCAGCAAAGGAACAAAAACGGGCGACTGCCTCAAGTAAACTTCGTAGGAGAGACCATCTAGTCCCGGAGATTTATCCAGACCAACCTGTTTCAGCGCTTCCCAGATTTCCAACTCTGTGATGGGACCCTCGCACCCAGCCGCTTCAGCTGCCTCGAGGCAGGGAAAGTTGGCCAAATAGGCGTCTAACCGAGCAGGGCTCAGACCGGGCTCCCTGGTGAAAAGTTCCTGAAAGTAATACCGAAAGGCCCCGCAAATGCCCGCGTTTGTAGTCACGGTCCAATTATCCGGCAGTGTGACGTACGCGATATGTCGCTTTGCTGTGCTCCGATTTTCCTCTTCACGCAATTCAGCGGCCATATTCGTCACCTCAAAGGAAATTTTTTTAACCTAGCCCTAACTACCAGAACTTGATTATTCTTGATAAGCAAGGAGGACAACTCTGCCTTAGCTAAGGCTATTTCCCCACTATTACAGGATTTCACTGTCCGATCAACTTTTTGTTCTAAAGCTGTTTGCCCCACTAATCTATCTAGATTGAGTCAACGACTAAAGTCGGTAGCAAATGTTCTAATTTTTTTATTTTAAATTATCCCACCAGGCGTTCCCTCTGAATCGTTAGTAGCAGCTGGTCCCGGAAATCTTGCTCACCAAATAGTGAACAGTTTAATTTCCAGTACCCAGCCAACCTAACCTTAGGCTTATCTGAGTTTACACGGACCTGGACAAGCCTATGATCTGTATAAACTATATAGTGGAAGCTTGGACACCCTAAGAGGTCTATATCGGCTCTCCTAAGAAAGACTCGATCGAGGTAGCTCGCAAGTGTCCCAGGAGCCGAGTTACCATTATTTGTCCAAGTCCATGCTACCTCCCGAGGGTTTTCATTCCGGTACTTATCGACAAGATCAAACTCATCAATAAAGTCCTTAAATGGTCTCACGTCCCGGTTGTTAGTACCCGGATTTTTCCCTATACGATCTATATCGGGGTCAAGGACGGCATTCCAATCCCTAAAACTACCCGACGAGATGTCATCAAGAACATCTCGATCTGCCGAAGCAAAGCAGGCCCCTCAGAATGGCTATTGGGCGCATAAACCCAAATGAGACGTAGAGCCTTATCCTTTATGGTAACATCCAGCACGCAAAGCCTGCCCACCGGATCTGCAAAGACAAGAGTAATGTATACAGCCTTGCTCACTAGCCAAGAGACACTCCTCGAACGACCATCAAAACATGCTGAATAAAAGGAGAACCCCTTAGCAAGTCATGAGAAGAAAACCAGGTCTCTTGCACGCAACAAACATTCACTCTGAGGCACTGAAGGTCACGAGAGAGCCTCGCCCTGCGAGACTCGGACCTCAGGCCCCGGGCATTTATACTTGCTAACCACAGAGTGCCATAATGAAATCAGATTAGGGTTGTACTACTGGTTTAAACATGGTCGGGGTAAGGATACCAACAGCCTCTCCCATAGACCCATGGCCCATTTCAGTCTTGATGGAGACGTCTTGGGAGATTCCTGTAGCGATATCCCAGGGGGAGGGTCAGTTTTAGGGCTCTATACAGGGAGGGGTGAACTAAAACTAGGGCCCTCTCATTTAAATTTTTTAATGATTTCTGATGGCTGAAATCTTATTACCCAGGACGCGGATGTAGGTTATTGCCAACAGGACGGAGAATATATTTGTTTGGCTCCAGAGCCGGTTCTAAGACTTAAAAGATTTGGATTGAGGGAAAATTGGAAAACTTCACATCTAGGTGTTCCAAACTGTAAATTGATAGGAAACCATGTTTCCTGGAAGACGGTTCCAAGGTCTCTGGAATGAGAATGGAATGTGCAAATGATCCTCTCCCAAATTGTGGATTTATTTTTTGACGATTTTTCTTATCTTTTAGCTCCTCGTGGGGAACCTTTGACATGAAAATAACGAGAGGGTGGTACGTTTCTGTCTATTTTACAGTGGAAA